CTTATCTCTCCTCCTTCTTTTCTTTGTTGTACGTTGCTCTCTAACAACACCTCTACTAATCTTCAACACTTACTTATTAAAATACCCTAAATGTGTTGCACGGACCGAAAAACTCTTACTGAAACTATTAAAAAAAAACAAAAAACTATTACTTATTCCATGTGATTCTGTCCTCACATTCTCACTGCGAGGCATTCGTTGCATGCCCACGTAGACATCTCCAAGTGAGTTTCTTAGTTAGTTTTAGTAGAGGTTTTGCGGCGCTCGCAACTGAATAAGGTCATACGAGCGCCAGAAGATTAGAGGTGTTACAAGACAGTAACAAACGTAAAAAAGAAGAAGAAGGGGAGATATATAAGGATGATAGATGTTTAATAGGAAAGAAGAAGCAAACCACACCTAAGCACCCGCCAACCACCCACAAGTGAGTTTCTGTCACACTAACAACAATATTACAAAAGCGACAAAAATATATGCTGCAGGAAAGGTTTTTGGGTTTTTACTCATTAATTTTATTAATTTGCAATGGAGATTTATGAAGTACAGAGGGAGGTTAGGAAACAGGTAGTGATCCGCCATAATTTTAAGTCCAATTACACACAAAAAAACAACACTGCAAAGACAAGAAAAGAAGAATATCATGAACAAGAGCTTGGAATTGGAAGAAACAATAGAAAAGTTTCCTTTGGCATAATCATTTTCATTACCTTTTCAATAGAAATAAAAACCATTAGAAAATGCATCGAAAAAATCAATTTCATTCAAGACAAACAACATATATGGATTGTACTTATATATAATAAATATATATATTTATGAATCAGAATGGGTATATGTGTAGATTGTTCAGATGTCAAACATAGTATTTTCTGGCCAAATTTCTTTGGTGTAGCAGTAAAAAAAAATCAGCCCTGACATCCCACAATAATACTAGTAGTAATATATATATTTAAAAAAAAATATAATAATATTTGTATATTATATATATTTTTAATATACACGTACATATATATATATATTATATATATATATATATATATATATATATATATATATATATATATATATATATATATATATATATATATATATATATATATATATATCCAGAGAAAACAAGAAGGAAAAAAGCAAAAAGGCAAAAACAATCTTTGTGTCTGGCTAGGAAAGCAAAGGCTAAGAGTAAAACTATACATCACGCATATCCTCAACAATCGCCCCGTCCCCAGCTCTTGTGTATTAAGCCTGCCAGCAAATTGACCGTGCAAAAGGTTATTACCTAAAATAGGCATAATACCATTGGCAAACTGGTGTACTAAACCCAGAAAGTAAAGCAAAATTTTACAGGAGACAGATAAAACTGTTACATAATTTTAAGTTATTTTAACAATTGTACCTACGTACCTTTTCTTGGGTTGTTTTTGTCAACCTTTGGATTTTGAGTTTTGACTATATATTTCTCGAGCACATGCAGCCAGTTACACCACAGATTAAGAAACTGCAGTCAGAAATTAATGTGAAAAGTGAGGCACCTGACGAGGCTCTCTATCATACACCACCCCTACGATCCTCGTGGATTACGGGATCAATAAGAAGTAAGTAAATCAAACATTATGTCAGAGGGCTCTCGTGGCCTTGAGGTTAAGGTGTTGGCCTCTCAATCAAAAGTCCCGGGTTCGAATCCGGGTAGCGACCGAAACATTTTCTTCTCTAAAATTGTCTCCTTTCACCTCCTTTCCTGCCCTCTAGCAATTTTCTGTCGTCTGCTTTTGTCTCCTCTTTCTGCCCCCACCCCTTCACCTCCTTTGCCCCATCCTCTGGGCTCCTGACTCTTTCTGCAGCCTGTCTACTGCTACTCCTTGACTCCTCCTTACAGCTGTCTTTCTGCCACACCCCTGATCTTCTGGTAGGAAAGATCTACACCTAGCCTTCTCTGACAAGGGCGAAAAATCTCGGAGGGCCCGTGTGCAAGTTGCGCACGTTAAAGATCCCCTGGTGGTCTAAAATCGATAAGAGTAGGCTTCGGCCGCCACCCGGGCAAAATTCAAAATTTCCTACCAACTAAAAGTATTAGGTGTGTCCCGCGCGCTCATATGACCTTATGCAGTTGTGACCGCCGTAAAACCCTCTACTATAAAAAAAAACCCATTATGTTGAACGTAGTACATCAGAAAAGCTGGCCAACCATATGTCTGCGGTGGTCATGGAATGTGGGATATTCTTTGACGAACATAGTATTGAATGCATCATCATCATCATCATTGCCTTTCTCACCCTGCACCAGGGTATAGGCCACGGACTCACGGACAAACACCTTCCACCTTTCTCTATCCTGGGCTAGCCTCTTGAATGAATGCATACATCACAATTAATCAATGAAAAAAACAACAAAGTAACAAATATAAAGTCCTTAATTTGTTTTTCCTCTATCTAACGCAAAATTTCAGGGGGGGGG